TACAATACATTAGCTTAACGTTTTTGTTTATTTTCCTTTCTCCTTTGCTTAATTTTTGTTTCATTTATTTCTGTTTTTTTTTTTTTCTTCTTAAATATTTTTTTTTAGTTTTGCTTTTGTTTTTGCGCTCAGCAGACAACTGGGCAGCTGAGTTTCACAGCTTCAATTTTCARTTTTTGTCTTTGTTTTTGTGTTGCTGCAGAGTAGCGTTGCTTTCACTTCAAGGTTTTTGTATGCATTTTTATAATAAAAGCAGTTACTTTCCGTGTAAATATTTAAGTTCGCTCATGTACAGTAAGTGAGTAAGGAAATGGAGACACCTAATACGAAATGGATGAGAAAAGTCAATAAACTCTCATGTRATCAGTATTTTTTCGCAAATATTTTACACTCAGAAACTGAGTTCCAGTTTCCGTCTAATATTCTTTAGAAATAAAAATATTTCTTCAGTTTTTCGTTTATAGTATATTTTAGATTTGTTGTCATTTTACTTTATCTGCCACATTCTTAATTCTCACATTTTCAACAATTTTTTTCTGATATAAAACATTAATTTTTTTCATTAGAATTTTAACCGACTTCAAAAACAGAGCTTCGAAAAGAACGGGTTTAAAGACGGCGCACTTAACCTATGTATCCTTGAGCGCACAAGTTCTCAAGTCCGTATCTCCGAAACTATTACTCGGATCAATTTGAAAATTTAGGATARTATTCTAGAGAGTTTACAGAATTAAAAAAGATAATATTTTTTCCCCCTAAAATCCATATAACCCCTTAACTACCTGACAAAAAGTCTATGAAGTCCTTTATTCTTTTTCAAATTTGATTTGTTTTATGAAATAATTGGAGACATGAGGCGAAATGTCGAAACACAGTATTTGAATATATTTTCTAAGGCATTTTAAGTACTAAAATAATGTAATAATTTTTGACAGGTAGAAAAATCTTTTTGCTGGTCTGTTAGTTTCAGACCCAAGCCGCTTTATCTTCTTTGGACCGATAACTGCAAGTGCTTTCCATGGTTCCAGGGAGTTTCTTAAAAGCTTTAAAGCAAGGGTAAAACAATCTTTAAAGCATAACTGTTTTAAGTGTCCCTCTTGCCTCGAACTCAACGCTTGGAGTCTTTTATTGTAAATTTGGCACAAAGTTGTTTCGACTAGTCACAAATGAGACAACTTGCAATATCTCCATTCTATGCCCTTATTCATTTTTGACAATTTGCTTGATCSGAAAGAATTCGGAGTGCATCACTGCTCGATAATCAAAGAAAACTATCAACATACCATTACCATGATTTTTGACTTGCTTTGACGAGTTTTTTCTGATTTGACTCACCTCTGCCACGATATTCAGCCGATAGATTTTCTGTTTCCGAGACGCAAGCAGAGATCCAATACAGATCGCCAATAATAAACGTTTCCTAACATCGTGGTAGATGTTGGTTGGACAGCAGTCTTTCACAGACGTCAACGTGACGCTGTTTTTGAAAAAAGTTAGTGATTTTGAAAGCAATCGTACTTTCAGTTTTTTTAGGTGCAAATGATCTTTGATGACTTTCCTGGGCCTGATTCGTCGCCAACGTGTTCTTAAACTTCTTTGAATAATTTGTACCAATCAAAAACACTTGCACGCGGAGACAATTATCACCGAACGCCAACATTCCAACACTCAGAACCTTTCGACAGCAAAAATTTGATTCCGCGCACCTAATATAACTGAACTTCATTCTCGCCGAATGCACTTTATGCACTTCAGAAAGACAAGCGTGGCAGTCATACTCGCGAAAAAAAAAATTAGTTTAATGAGCTTTCGCGCGGAATTTAAATTAAAAAGTCTCACTACTTTTTGCCCACAGTAGTATATGTCAATAATATAACAAAATGTTTCTAATTTTTTGACATACATGCTAACCACTTACGGTGCTTTGTTTTGAACGTAACTTTTGTAACTCTCTCCCTCGCATTCTTGCACAAACTGGGTCAAGTGCATTGGCTTTCCGTCGGGAATTGCACTCGAATGGTAGTTTGCCATAACTTTCGTCTTTGGCGCTTTGAAGCTTACAAAGTGTAATGCGAGCTAAGCGCATTTGCGACATACTCATACACATATATTAGAAGCGCATAAACATTCGCATATTACAAGCAAGGACACTGCTCAAAATGTTGCGCAAATCTACTAAAACTAACATTTAAAATGTTAGATGTACGCGATAGAAATGCGTTGAAATTAATGATCTGTATGGAAAATTGTCGACTGACTTATTTTTGATGGCTAAGTAAAGCTTTTGTTTCACTCTAAAGATGCACATGTGATCATATTTGCATATCTATGCATGTGTACATATGTGATTGTGTTAACTGGGGAACTGGTTACAATTTGCTTAATAAATAATTTTAGTAGCTGTAGAGCATGAGCACGTGACTACCGGTTGCTGAGGATTTCAAACTTCACCAACAGCAGAAAAGCACTCTCTAACATACACTATTATGAGTAATGATTATTTGAGGACGTGACAAAATACGTGAAATATTTTGTAACGAATTTTCGAAAATTTTTCTCGTTAAAAATTTCGTAGAATGCTCTTCCTCAAACCATAAGTCTGCGTGTTATTATTGTTGCTTCACCACAATTTAGAGCATAAGTAATATAAAATTACACCACATTTGATTTATTACCTTTATTACCCTACACATGATGTGTAATACTATAATACTATATTATAAATGTGTTTTTTCTTGTTCTGTTTAACTAACGTTTGCTTATAAGGTTCTTAAATGGTATAAAATGAAAATATGGAACACAACTCTCATTGAAAAATAGCAAAAATAAATTCAAACGTTTTCTTTCCTATATACTAGATACAACGACATGCAAAGACTTGATTTTGCAAAACAGTATGTCTGTATGTCAAATATTGGTGGAATCGGGCCAATACTTCCCTGAGCCGCTATATACCTAGTACAAAGRTTTTTGAATTTCTAGGTGACTTTATGCTGGATATATCAGCCAATAGTTGTGTTATCTCAATTTAATTGAGAAAGCGTGTCTTGTGCTTAAAATATACAAGTTTGAGCGAAAACTTGATCTAGGCTCCCTTATAATCATTRCCAGAATTTTCGAACATCGGACTGACTTTGCTAAATATGATTGGTGATTGTATGTAAGCAACTTTCGTTTTTAAAAAAAAATCGTATGCCGAATTTGTCGCCCAGTCTATTATTTATATAGAGTATATGTATGTATGTATATTTAAAATTTCTTAGATTCCGATCTTCTGGTTGACGTTCTTCATCTTAAGATATTTCCCTGGCTTTAGTTCTTACAAATTGCAAGAGTATAAAATGTTCAGTTGCACCCGAACTTATGTCTTCCTTACTTGTTCTAGTACTTTTTATTCTTTGCTCAAAATAAGCCTCGTTTTCGGCGAACCCTCTTTATTCGATGAAAATTTCTTTCCAGCGAACATTCTTTAACATTCCAAAAACAGGAAATGATCGCGGTTGGCCAGTTCTGGAGAATACGGTGGATGCAGAAGCAATTTGAAGTCCAAGTCATGGATGTTTGCTATCGTTCACTGACTTGTGATGCGGTTTACTACCTTGGTGAAGCGCTACTTACATTTTCTTCAAATGCCGCCGCCTTTCGGCTACATTGTTCTTCAAACGGTCCAATAACACTATTTAATAGTRCATGTTGATGGTCCTCCTTTTTCAAGATGGTMAATAAAAATKTTTCCATGCGCATGGTAAAATACAGACGCCAAATCTTGACACTTAACTTTTGTGTTTTTTCACGCTTTGGAGCGGCTTCAACGTGTGCAGTCCACTYATATGACTGTCGATTGAAGTTYGGAATTAAATGAATTAGCCACGTTTCATCTGTTGTCATATATCGAGGCGAAAACTCGGGTTTATTACGCTTAAAGATCTCAAAAACCTGCTCCATATCATCAACTCGTCGTTGTTCATGAATGATAATATATAATGTTCACGTTCAGTTGATATCTTAATAGTGCCTGCTTTATCGAACAACTTCACTGATGCTCATTTCACCACGACTAAACTTAGCATACCAATCCTTCATGATCGAATTCCTGGTGAAGTGTCTAAAAARTCGTCATCAAGCCCAGTTTTTACTTCAACTGTATGTTTTTCTTTCAAAAAGCAATATTCTATGAATAAATGAAATGCTTTTTAATCCAKTTTTTCAGAATACCTAAAGTTGCTCAAAATTGTATACTTAATGCACAAACTAATGATCCGAAAGCTGTCAAAATTATACAAATGGCTTTTCAGACTTTTCCATTGGCCTGCTTTATTACTGCCTTAGGACTTTGGATAAAATTTATATTTTATGTTTCGTATTTATAATATATACTGTATACGTATATGCAAGAGGTAAAAAGGTTTTTATAAAATTATTATTCTTTTAAGTGCGAGGCTGGCTTTTTCGCATAAAAAATATATAGCATAATTCGAGAACTACGAATGTAGCCGATAGTAGACAATCAAATTAGATTTTTTTTTTTTTTTTTGACAAAGGTATAGTAATTTAAAGACATTTAGCTTATGTAAAATTATAAGTGTGTGTCTTATACTCGAACAACATGTACGMCTTAATCGCAATCGATGTTATATTTTTTTCTGAATGATACATATTTCATTACTGTTTATATTGCCTTATCGTTCCATCACTTGTAATATATAGGACAAATAAATCAAAGAAATCACACTAAAAGATAATGGTCACATTATATGGACAAATATTTTCCTGAAATATTTTGTTATATTCACTGATAACCTTAAGTGCCTAAATTGCAATAAGAAATACGTTCAAATATTGGACAGCAGGCCTACATAATCAAATAATATTTTACCAACTTTTCTGGGGAAAATTAATTTTTGCAATACATATTCTACCTTTGACACAATTGTTCTTCCTTATTTTTCTTATTCTTTTTTTTCCATTTATTTTAAATTATTTTTTACTTCCCATTTCAGGGTCTCTTTGTTGCCACACTCTTCTGTTTCTTCAATGGCGAAGTTATTGCGCAGGTGAAGCGCCGCTGGCGTACGACTTGGTTTAGCAACAGAGCGCGTGCAAATTCCTACACAGCAACCCAGGTCTCGGTAAGATTTTGTTGGTTTTGCATATGCTTTCGCTTATACTAGTTGTATACATGTACWTACTAAGCTTTAAATAATTTTTGTTTGTGAAGTATTTGTTACTGCTGTAAATAATGTAATTGTGTGTGTTAAAATAAGTTGAAACTGCATTTATTGTTCCTACATTTGTTTTTAATGTAATTAGCTTGAAATTATTTGTTCTTTAATATTCCTCGTATATGTATTATTAAGTAGATAAATGTTTCTTTAATAAAAATTATYTACTTTCGCAACAAATAACAATATTCTCATATTTATTTTCTATGTTTTTCTAATATTTTATGTTAACAAATATAAATGTGTACTTTTTTCGACCACTTCCTGAATTGCTTTTGCCGTTCAGAAAAATAATTAYTTTATGTTAATTATATTCCTTTCCGTGTTAATGCCTTTGGGTTGTGCATGTCGTATGAGCAACATCAATTTAGCCATAAGCCACATGTGTGCTGTATTGGTGCTACATGTCGTATGAGCAACATCAATTTAGCCATAAGCCACATGTGTGCTGTATTGGTGCTACATGTCGTATGAGTAACCCGGTAACTAATAAGAATACTATCGGCCATTAAATGTTTTTGTGTTGCATTTGTTAAGTAAAAATAGCTCGATGTTGATAATTAATGAGTTGGAAGATACTTACATACATAAATTATTTATAGATTTTATGTTATAGCAAAGTTTCATGAATTCATTGTTCTTTTTTGAATATAGGACTAGTACAAGACTGAAATTATAACTTGGACTTTTTACACCTGACTTATATAATATTATATTAGAAGTTAGTTGAAATACATATGTTTCGCTTGTAGAAGTAAACTAAAGTTGAATTCTGGAAATTTTTTCATTTCTRATAGATATTCTCACACATGAAATGCCCGGCATATTTTCACATAAATTCCAAACTTTCAGATTATAACCCCATAACTGCATTTTTAATTTGGACAATCATAGTTTTGAATAACCTGCACACTTAGGTTCACTTAGGCTATTAATCAATTTGAGTATTAATAATTTCCGCAAAGTTCGAGCACTAAAATAATAGAACTCTAAGCTCAGTGCAGAGCAGCCTTTCACATTGAAACAAAATTTGAGTTTTCGTTATAACATGGTTATATATAAGTTATATATTGATTATACACTGGTTATATATTGGTTATGTTATATATTGATTATACACTGGTTATATATTGGTTATGTAGTGGTTATATCTGACTGCAGAGCTGAAAATTGTATGTCATGTATATGTAATTGACGTAGTGAATCGTAAGGAATAAAAAACTCAATTTAGTGGTTTTGCATTTTAGGTAATGATATGCGTTATTTTTCTAAGTAGTGATGCTGAGGCCTCTTACATGGTGGTGATTGATATTCTAATATATTTAAAGCTTTACAGCTCAAAAACTTTAGTTTATTGTGAAATAAATAAATACCCACTCAAGTGTAATTAGTATAGTAGAGTATAGTGGTTCATATGCAACTGTATAGCTAAATTTACATTATGCATGACTGTCGTCCACCAAATTGAAAGAGCCATATTTGTTTGAAATTATGAATGCTAATCATTTTAATATGAGGAGGCATTCAATCCATATGAATGTAAAATTTCACGACAAATGTTTAACCCGTACTAAACATGACCATATTAAATTACAGGAAATCACTACATTTTCGACTTTTTGTATATCATTTCAACAAACCTTAAACAGATTTGAAGAATCTTGACCAAAAATTTTAAACATTGCTGCTTAAAAATCTAAACTTATTGTGGTTATCGAGCATGCTGATGTGAGTAGCCATTCATAATACAAAACCCTGTTAAAGTAGCCAGATCAAATAGACCGGCAACTATACATAAGCAGCAGTTAGARTCAAAATAATATTAAAAGTAATATATTTCATTTGTTTTGTAGCATTAGGGCGGTACTTATATATGTAAAAAAATAATGTTTTCCCGCTCTAAAACACGATGGAACTAACCAAAAAACTAGCAAATACCATCAGCTGATTAAAACCATTCACAATATATTTTTAATTTTCCTTTTAGGGATCACTTAATATATTTCTGTAAATAAATTTATAAAAGTAATTCCCGTTGATCCTGYACTTTAACCAAACCACGTGTTGTATTGTCGCTTTGCTTGTCGTTGTTGTTCCATTGCACTCTATCACCTCGTACATAAATAGCCAATTTGTAAATACCAAAAAAAAAAATATAAAGTAAAAAATCACCACTGCTCTCCACTCTCCAATGTGTTTCGTTTCTTTTCTTTTCTTTCCACACATCTATGTATAAACGTACCATACATCGTATTGTACCCATGAAACAAACCAAACCACCAATGCCAAACAAAATGTACAAAAAAATCCCAAAAAAAAAATCCTTAAAAAACACGCAATTATTTCAAACCGCAGTTCTTCTGATTATAGTTCGTGCGATGTGGCCCGCCCTTGCCCGGCGAAGAAAAAGTATGACTAAAGAGCTTGTCRTCGACGAAATCGCGTCGCGCCTCCAGCGCCGTCACCGGACGCAGCGGCGGCAATGCACCAAACGCGGCCGGTAGCAGTAAAGGCGTCACGCGCCTGCGCAGCAACAGCAGCGCACCCGCTACACAAAACTCACCTGCGAATAGCACAGCGACGCCCGGTCTGTTGGGCGGTCTGCGAAAATTACAATTTCTGCGACGAAAAACCGTCGATCAGCTGCGCATACGGCAGCCGCTAATGGAGGAGGGCGCTTGTGTCGCCGATGGTGGCGCTCAGGCATGCAACTGGAATAGTCATAGAAAAAATGCGRCCGAAAATGTGACGGCGACAGCAGCGGCTACAACAACAACGGCAGCAGCGAACAAGAGCGAACTAGCAGCAGCGACAACAACGAGTAATTACTGCAATAATAATAGCAACAATCGACTTAGCAGCAGCGGCAGTTATAGCATCGAAGGCAGCAGCGCGGAGGGCAGCAATCGTGCCGGCGGCATTTTGCTTGTCACCACCACAGCTGTGCACACGAATCCGAACACATGCACCTACAACAATAATTTGCATTTGGATGGCAACAAAATCGCCGACGAGGCATTGTAAGCGCATTAAAATGCTGCCGAACGCGATGTGACATGTGTGGCATGTGACTTGTTGTGGTTGGAGGTGGCTTGGCTCTATGTATGTATGTATATGGTTTTAGTGTCAGCGTAGTTGTAAGTAATTGTAGTTAACACGTGATTAACTGGTACTACGATAGTTGATATATTTATTGCCATTTTGCATATTTTGTGTGTGTGTGTGTCTGTGTGTTGAAAGTACAGAGTAACTTAGCACTAAGCTTTTTAATGTTTTAGTGTAAATACAATTTCTTTAAATCTTTAGGATATGAAGAATAGTGGGACTGCCTATTATATAATATATACTGTGCTAACTGTGAACACATTGTGCAATATTATTGAGTAAATTATTTCTAATATTTTATTCACCTCTAAGTTAGACTTATTTTAAAAGAGCATGGTTCAATTAAAAGTTTTTAAATTGTATACAGTACTGAGAAAAATATTGACACCCATAGTTTTTGGTTTATATAAGTATATTAGAATCAATAATTGAATTGATAGCATGACGTTTATCTGTCCATCCGTCCACGCATCTATTTATATGCTAACAACCTTTCACCTAATGTCATTTTTCGAAATCACTGTAAGATGCGTTGAATCTTTTGACCTTTGCAGAAAACATCACAAATTCGCAATCATATCTCATATGAGAATATTTGAATTGCAAATAATTGCGGTTAAAAATTAAATACCAGACCCGAACCCACACGAAGGCATATGCTATGACTAACCTGGTGGAACTTAGGACCGATTGATTGTTTCTAAAGTAGAATAAGCTCTTGTCGTTGAGGTTTCTCAGATCGCTTACTAACCATCAGTTGTGCATGAATATCGATAGGTTGCATTACCTAATTATTTCCTCAATATCTCCAGCAGAGGAAGGTTACTTCACTCTGTTTATGGCTGATTCTTGATTTTTTCCCCACCCCTGTTCCACCAAAAAAATTGGTTCCTTAAAATGGCTGCCGATCATTGATCAGCCTATTTGTTATAATACCAACTTACCTAGTACAACTATCCAGCAAGTTCACATCGTGAAGGTTATCAAGAATTTCCTTTCTCTATTTTAAAAAACTGAAAATAACCTACCTTCCCTTTCTTCCAAATCTGTGGACTAATAAGGTTTTAAAGGGACGAAAGCAGTTGCGACATTATACCGTTTGAGTATCATACCAACAGACTTATGTTGGTTACGAAATGCCGGACCATTTCAAAGCTCAAGTCTTGTGCATGAGTCCAAGGTGGTGAAGGCTACAAGTTATTTATCGTTATGTAGGATGCGCTATTCTGAAGCAATCCATAATTATTAAAACTGAGAAAACAGGTTACACTCACCATCCAAACATTTCGAGCCATTTAATAATATAATAATAATAAACTTTGTCCTTCCGCACTATCTGATATTCCGATGAAGGGTTGGGTGAGCATTTCATACTACCAAAGAGTGAATGATCGATTTTCAAACCTCTTTGTTTTCCGAACAAATATAAATGTTATCTTGCACAAATAAAAGGCATTAAGAGGTTAAATTCAGTTAGAAAAAAAGCATATTTCCAGATTTTTTCTAAAAAAATTTAAAATTTATTGATACCAGAAGACTTATTATTAGGAAAAATATTGCTTTCGAAAGGAGCTACAGCTGATTTTCGAGTTTTTTAGAGAAATAAGACAAAAAAAATGTTTTTTTCAAAAAAAATTGTTTTTGTTTTTAGT